TAAATATATTAAAATCAAAACCCTTTTTTAAAATTTCATAAAAATCAAAATAAAATAAAGACCGAGGTTATAACTTTTGGGTAGCATGATTTTGAAATTTTTATGCACTTTTGATGTTTTGTATTTCACCGGCTAGGTTTTGTCATAAAGTTTTTTCAACTTTACCAAACACAAACCTCATGCAATGAATTCCAAACACCTTTAGTGAAACACAGGCCATATATATTTTTCACGTGCATGACCCAAAACAAAGAAAAACTGACAGCATAATGACAAAATATTGCACCTAATTTCAACATTTGCTAATAGAAAAACATAAGTCTATACCCTATTAATTAAACATCTAATAATTATGTTTTCAAGTTGAAAAATTAGTGTAGGGATCCTATATTCATCATGTTAGCTTCCATTGTCCTTTGACATGTAAAATTTGTTAATCTCAATAATAAATGGTGTAAATGACATTACTGATATATAAAAACAGAAACATTTTCTAGAAAGCTCTTTGATTAATTGGTTCTCCACTTGAGTAGTTCTTTCCCAATCTGTTACCAAATTCATACATTAAACTTTTAGGTTGTGTTTATTCCTATATGGTTTTTTTCGCCTTAAATTTACATCATGAGAAAAAAAAGTTGTGGCTTTCATTGGTAGGATTTGAGCCCAAAATTGTTCAACCAAACTTTTTTTGCTACATGGAAGGTCATAGCTTAAGGATAAACACGATGTAGATATGGAGATTTGGACCCCATATCCTATTGGTTATCACTTTTTAAAAGTGATATAAATCAATTGAGTTAAACTCGTTCAAAAATCACTATTATCCTCACTTTAAACTATATATATATGTTAAAATTTTTATATCATTATAAGTAAGGATTAATGTATCAATATTATACTATAATTCACTTCAAGACATAACATTATAATATTCCATATAGTTAAAAGACTATAAATATGTTTATTGAATCATAATGGAAACATGCATGTTTATATATTTTTTTTATCCCTTTTGGCGTTTTCTTTGGCGTCGAGTGATGATGGAGGAGTGGAAGATCAATGGATGTTGGTTGAAGTTGAAAGAAAGTTTGGTTTTTCTTGGTTGTCTCAAGTTCTATTGGGAGGTCATTAAAAGATAATTTTTCATGAAATCGTTACACTCGACATATATAAATCTGCTTATACCAATTAGAAGAAAAGATACACTAGATGAAGCCTGAAAACTTCTTATCATTAAAAAAAGGTAGAACATGTGGGATTGTTCTTAAGGATGTTTGAGGCAAACAATTTAATTAAAATTCTAAGGTTTTTAAGTTCAGATCTCACTGTATGTGGGTTTAATTTAATTTAATTATAATTTATTAGTTAATTATTTAATTGATTGTACGAAATATAATAATTACAAGATTGTGACATTGAATGATAAAATAGTCAAGCCAAGCTGTTCTATTGTTTTGTACCTATGTTATGCACCAATGTTTGAATATTGCTCGCCATGATTGTCGGAGTTTAAACAATAATTAACTATACTTTTCTAATGCTAAGGTTCATTTTATATCAGAAAAGATGGTTCAGCTTGGCACAACTACAATCTCAAAGGTTTCCAAAGAGACAGCCGGAAGTTAAGACTATGAGATTCCAACTTAAAAATTTTGAGTTTGAAACATTCAACAAAAATAATGGTTAATTATTATCAATCATTTCTTAGATTAACTCGCATATCATTAAAGTTGATATTTGAAAATTATAAATTCAAGGGAGTTTACACGTGTAATATCATTTTCAGTCGAATAAACAGTGGGATAGAGGATTTAAGGGTAAATCAAAATTTAAAAAAATAATGATTAATTATTTAACAACTTTTCATAATATATATGTAAGACATAATCATAATTGTACACTGAGACGTAATTAAAGATCCAAACTTTCACTGTCCCTCCAATCTTCAATAGGAAGAAGAAAGATATTTTTCACTGTCCCTCAAATCTTCATTGAATCACTTTTTTAATAAATTAAGAATATAAGATATTTTTCAATTACAAGAATCAAAAACCATCCAATTTTATTGCTTTTATATGTTTTTAAATATATATTCACGTAAGTGATTTTAATTTCATATTATTTAATTTTATTATCATTGCTATTTTTAATTTTTTAAATCAATACCATCAATAAAGATGTCGATAAATAAAATATGAGAAAAGTAAATAATTATTCATTTTAATTTGTAGATTTTGATATTATATTTAATTTTATAATCATATTAAATGATATTTTAAATTTATTATTATTTTTATATTTATGATTATTTAATAAATATGAGTAATACTTACACTGTAATTTTTTAAAAAATAAAAACTAAATTTTTTTATTTTATATTTTTATCATATATATTTAAGTGATTTTTTATAAACATATATTAATATATTTTTTGATAAAAATATATTAATTTTAATTAATTTAGAATAATAATTTATATTATTTAATAAAAATTTATTTATTATATATAAATATCTACACAAGATACAATGCGAAATGAATATTATATTGTTTATCTTTATTTTATATCTTATAATTATTTAAAATTATATTAATCTTTATTCTTATATTTATAATATAATTTTTATTTAGATAAAAAATTAAAATTTTTATTAAATATGAATAAAATTAACATTCATACGGGCTAAAAACCAAAACGAAATAAAGAAGGAAAAAGACTTGGTACATAGAGCGTAGGGTTAAAAGTAGGGAGTAGAGGGAGAGAATCTAAAAAAGCACATGGGGTGGGGGACCAGCCTGAAAATAAAGTCCCGCGTTTCCCGGCACACAGAAAAAGAGTTAGCACACTACAGAGTCACAGAGCAGAAACAAGAGGCGCTGCACGTGACTTCGGCTCCGTTACCACTACAACTACAACTACAACCACAGCTACAGCCACAGCAGTTGTTAAATATAATTGGGATCCGTGCCTCTAATCATCACGTCTTAACCTTCCTCTGCTCTGCTTAATTTGCATTATCTTTGTTTTTCTCTTGTGTCAACTGTAGCGGTGCTTTGTCAACTTTCAAGTTTTACCCTCACGTGACTTATTTTCTCATCTTTAATGTCTTTTTTATTCCACGTGAGTCGATTGTTTTAACTCTGCACTCTCTCTGCCATTGAATATAAACTTTAACTAAAAAAATCTCTTTATTTAATTTAACTTTTAATTTTTAAAATATTATTTTTTAAATAATAACTATATGAATTAATTTGATTATTTATTTAATTTTAAAAATCAATATTACATCAAATTCAAAATTATCCAATTTTTTTAAAAAAGAAATCCATCGATGAACAGTCTTTTCTGCTGCGGAGAGCCTGCACGGTTGTTAATCACGTGAGTCTTTTTCTTTTCTTTTTTTTTTTTTTTAAATTGGGAGGTTGGCGAAACGTACCGGGGGGGGGGGGCTTAGCCTAAATGGCCTAAGTGGGGGAGCTGGCTACCTTCATCACATGCTGTGCAGATGTCCTTGTGAATTGTACAAAAATCTGATCTGATCTAACCCAACCATATACAATATAAGCTTGGAGCTTTTTTCGCTGTACTGTAACTTTTATCCACAGATATCGTTCATTTCCGGTGTTTCGTAATTGTGACTCGTCACAAACAGCCATTCATTGTTATCTTTATTTGTTTTTCACTGGAAAGTGTTGTATCATGTGTTTCCGAATTCATAACAAAATCCAAGCTCAATACATTATTTAAGCACAAGTTTGTGTCCATTGAGTTTTTATGGGTCTTAGTTTTTTTTTTTTTAAATGTATATATATATATATATATATACTACAATAAACTTTTGTATAAAAAATTTTATAATAATCAGTTTATAAATTTTAATTTCTCCATAATTCATCTTAAATTCACAATAAAAAAATTATGTTTGAATTACAATTTCTTGAACTTTATGTTAATTAAGCCATCAACATTTTTTGTGGTACTTATTTTTATCTTTTGAATAATTGGTTTTTGTTTAAAATTATAATCATAATCAATTATTATTACATTCATATAATTAAGTTATAATTTTTAAATAGTTAGTTGACAAGTTAAAATATAATTAAATAAACAAACTTACATAATAAAATTTAAACATATTACCTTTTCCTTACTATTAAGTCAAGACTTTATTTGTAGGATAATTGAAATTTTTATTTCAAATATAAAAACAGAAACAAAGTCTATATAATTTATGATACTATCTAATTATTTCTATATTTTGAAAATATTATTCATAGTTAAGTGGTTTCAATTATCAAAATTGAATCCAAAGGAGATTAATGAAAAAAAAATCAAAATTTAATATTTAATTCAATTGATTTATACACAAAGATTAATTCAAATAGTGAATTAGAGTATTCGTGGACATCCCAAAAAAAATTAAAAAACAAAAATAATTTAAAAAATTTTTTTTACGCACTTTATCCATTGATAAATTTAATAAATTCATCATAATTATGCATATATATTATAATAAATATTTTTTAAAAATAAATTAAATCTATCATTATTTATATAATCTTTTAAAAAATAATATCCAATAACAAATTTAAAAATTAAATATCATTATTATAAACTGTGCCCTCGATTATACCAGCATAAAAACATTAGTCAAGTAAATAAAATAAATCCTAATTAAGCCGGTGAAAGCGGCTGTTAAAATGCTTGAATTTAAGCCATTTTAGCCATGTTACCATTTCGGCTAAAAAAAAAAAGGAGACAGCAGTATAACATTAATCGGGATCGCCAAAAACATAACAAAATTCCCTCATTTAAAAAAACAAAAAGGCACAAAATTTTAAAATCCTTGAGTTCGTGGTCCATAGAATGTCACACCTAAATTAAACTAATAAAAAAAAAAAAAAGGAAAGCCGTTAACTTTGGCCCTTACGTCGTCAACGCCGCCGCAACGTCGTTACTTCAAAGCCGTTAATGAAGCAAGTCTTAAAAAAAAAAAAAACAATTACAATTAAAAATGACAAAAAAAAAAAAGAGGAAATGCAAAAAGAAAGTGTATAAAAAGGATCTTTGAAGCAACCAAGCGGACGCTTAAGAAAACAAGAGAGAAAAAAGAAAGAGAAAGAGAGAATCCATTTTCTCCGACCGGAGCCTCGTCTTTCGCCGAACTGCTTCTTCTCCACAAAGGAACAGAAATATAAAAGAAAAAAGGGTGTTTTTATTGTGTGTGTGGTTTGGTGGCCGAATTTCGAAGGTGATACTCGGTTGCTGCATTATTGCACGTTTTACTTTACGAGTTTACTTCAATTTTTCGAATTCGGTATTTCGTTGGTTCAATCATTCCTTCGCCAAAATTCCACGTTAAAATTGTTTCAATTCAGATCAAGAAGGTAGGTACTCTTTTTAAAAAAAAAATTTCTTGAATTATTGTTTGAATTTTGACTTTGAATTATGATTAATTCAATTTCATTTAGCTTTGATTCCGTTGAAGGTGTTGAATTTTCGTAAGAGCATAGTCTTTTTTTTTCTTTAAATTGTGATATTTTATGGTTGTAGATTCGGTGACAAGAAATACAATTCCGATTCCGTCAGTTAAACGAGTGGAGAAGATCTCTCGGAGCTGAAGTTGTCGAATTTTCTCAAGAAAAAAAAAGTAGAAGAAAATTTCTTTTCAGGCGTCCAAGTTAATTACGGTTCAGAATTTTCGAATCCGAAGTTAACTGCTTGAAAGCTTTATATTTTAAAAGCGTCAGTGATTGCGCCTCCGATCTCAGGTGGGGGCGTATTTTTTTCCCGACGAAATCCACTTTCTCGACGTGAAAGGGATCTGATAAAGCAACCGGAAAGAAGAATTATCCATTTTTCAAATCCTCCTGTTCAAGCTCTTCGAATTCTATTGAATTGCGGTGGAAGTTTGAATTTCTCTCATTAAAAATTATTTCAAATATTATATTATCTGATCCAAAAGTTTTATTAAAAAAAAAAAAAAACTGAAGTCTGAAGGCTGAAGCCATAGATGGAGCTCCCTCAATCCCGGCCTTTAGGAGCAGAAGGTAATTTATATTATTACTGCGTCGTTTTTATTTTTCAAAATGATTTACTTCCATTTTACGATATTTTAATTGAGAAAAGAAAAGAAAAGAAAAAGAATTAGAATTAGAATTTTTTTTTTATTGATAATAATTTTGGTTTTGGAACAACAGGAAGGAAACCAACGCATGACTTTCTGTCACTGTATAGTCATTCGAGCGTCCAACAAGATCCAAACAGATCTTCTCAAGGTAATTTTCTCTTTCTTATTTCTAACTTTTAAGATAAAAAAAAGAACAAAAAACTTTTTTTACTTTTTTTTCTTGCCTAAAATATTCTTTTCTTTTCTTTTATTATTATAAAATTTAAATTATAATATATTATGGCTAACATTACATTACATGACGTTGAGAGAGAAAAAGAGAATAAATAAATATCTTTAGAGTTTGTTTTATTTTTATTTTTAAAATTTTTTTACCATCCTTAGAGAGTTCAATTCTTTTTATAAAAAATATTAAAGTTTTAAAAATTAAAAAAATTACATATTTTGGAGTAGGATTAAATTTTGGATTAGTGAAAGTAACTGCAAATTTTGTTGAATGAATGGATCATGGGCCAATTGAAACTTTGGATGGGCCCATTCTAAGAAATTAAATTTTTGTAAAAGAAATACAAGGAATGAAAGGAAAACAGTGTGAGATAGATGTGGATGAGGAAATCTGAAAAAGCAAAGGATTAACATTTAGCAGTTTGGCAACTAGGAAATGAAGTAGATTAGCAGAGGCACAGAGCGAGAGAGAGGGGATTGAAGGGAAATGAAATGGGAATGGGACCCATGATTGGAGTCTGGAGATGGAGATGATTTGACTAGTCACATGATTCACATCACCACCTCATTTCCCCTGTACACTTGCACGCGTTTCTTTCTCTCTTCCATTTCTTCTTCCTTTCCCTTATTCCCATCTCGTGATAAATAAATAAATAATTTTATATATGAAGCCCTAAGCCAAAATAAATTCACGGTGCTTTTTTTTTAAATTACTTTACGGTTTTTGTACATGGATCCGTTAAACATATGTTATTTAATTATAATTTTTGAAATATATTATATTTAATATATTGTTTTTATTAAATTCAAGAAAAATCAATTCATTAAAAGAATATATAAATCTATTTATACTGGTATAAAATTAATTTAGTTTTATGTAATTTTATAATTTTTATATAATTTATATCTATTTAATTTGATAATTTCATTTAATGCTATTTATTTGTTAATTAAAAATTGGATCATTAATTTTTTGATATAAAAATTTTAATTGTTAACTGTATATTAAAAAAGATAATATTCTTATCAATATCAAATTGATTTAAAATTTTATGTACATAATAAATATAATTATATTGTTAAATTTAACTATTGGTTTATTAAAATATTGACATTAAGCAAATTTTATAGAAGGAAATTTGATTCTAATTCAACAGCACACCAACCCAAACTGTCACGTGAAACTAATGGAGATGGACTGGGTCAACATTTAAGTGAGCTGTTTTTGAGCTTTAATTTGAACGTGCTGTTTTCAATTCTCAATAACTTAATATATTTGTAGCATGCCGCATTACCGCTTCTAGGAGACAAAAAAATCAATAAAATTTAATTCGAATTATTGCTAGTATTTATTTTCCTTTGCTCCTTTTTTAAGCATGAATTTTAATAATCATCAAGTTATTCAGCTCAAACAACAACTCTCATCATGGTTTTACTGTGTTTTACGTTAATCATCTTTCTATTGTAATCTTCTTCATTTTATTCAAGTTTGAGATCGATAGTAAAATAACACATAAACAAAGTTTTATTCAACTCAAACAAAAAAAAAAATTATCATACAATCATATATATATATATATATACATATACATATTTATATATGACTTCCGTGGAATGCATGTTAGTTCTTATCCCAAATTTGATTTCTTTGGTGGGGTCTAAATGAGCAGGTGGATATCTTAAAACTCATGATTTCCTACAAATTGAACGGCTAGGGAAGACAAGTGCCAAGGAGGAAATCCCAGTGGAGGTAGCAACTTCTGAAAAGCCGCCACCGCAGGCACCTCCTTCTTCTGTGGAACATATTCTCCCTGGCGGAATTGGAACTTACAGTATAAGCCACATTTCCTATTTCAATCCTAGGGTTCCGAAAGCAGAGGGGGCTGTATTCAGTGTAGCTCAAGGGATTAGTACCGAGAGAAATGAGGAAAACTCCAACTGCAGTTCTTACACTGGAAGTGGTTTCACTTTATGGGAAGAATCTGCAGGAAAGAAGGGAAAGACAGGGAAGGAGAATGGCGGAGAAACACCCGTTGTAAGAGGTAAAACTTTTCTTGCCATATGCAACGCACCTTCTCTACTAGTATTTCATTTTTGAATTAGTGTCATGCATGATTAACCTCTCCTCGCATCTACTTCCCGTCTGCATTAGTCCTTACTGACTTTAGGCATTTAGTATCACCATTATTAACATCTATGAGATTGACATTTATGAGTAGGTTTCAGACCGTAAATGTTAATATATGTACAATGAGTACTATTGTTGCCAAAATATCTCGCACATAGTGAATTTGGAAATGCAAAACGCAGCTGTTAAACGTATGCAACTGTTAAATTTGTTTCCCATTTCATTTGCATGCGCACGCAAAGTCACCGCAGTAATTTCGGATTGGTAGCATACAAAGCTGGCCGGATATTTTAATTATTGATGAATTTATGCATGGATTTGAAAATACAATGATGATCATGTACTGAAGATAATTAGTTAATCAGTATAGTGAGTTAGGAAGAGCAGCAAAATATCCTCTGAATGAGAATAGTTTCCCTTTTTCTGACAGGTTAGGTTGTCAGAAAACTGGATCAGCCATGATTTTTTAATCTTGAGCAATTATTATTATTATTATTAATTTTTTGTCTATGTTTTGACGAAATATATGAATTTAAAATGTCTAAAAATGTATATATTTAAATATCATATTTTAAAGATCACGGATAAAAATAAAATATTATACAAAAATCTTGAATGATTGATCCATATACTCTAAACACTAGCAACGTAATCTCAAATTACATGTTATTTAATTTACGATTAATTCACGGCTGCAACATATTTTGTATTAAACCTTTTACAGCCTTCCACATTTTTTATTGGCATCATAAATAATTTGTTAAATACAAAAGAAGATGAAACTAGTTAAGAACTTTTTCTTAGTGCTTTCAATAGTTAAAAACTTTTCTATTGCATCTCCTTTTAACAGCGAAATTTCTTACTACTATTTTTCACATTTCATTTTCTCTTTTATAATTTTGTTTAATTTATTGACATATCATATTTATTATAACAAATTCTATATAGTCAAGTCAAAAGTTTTTTTCAATATGTGCCAAATCAAAATTAATATTTCACATTTGATTTTTCTTTTCATTTTCAAACTGTATTATTTTTTCTTAATGTTTTGGTCTGGCAATGCATGTTTATCCTTCATAGGTAACACTTGATTCCTATAGAATCTTAATATAAATATTGAATATAATATTTAAATTTTTTATATTTGAGTGATAATTTAATCAAATTAAAGTATAATTATATCCTCCCAATTAATCAAATTAAAGTATAATTAAATAATAATTTAGATAACTTACATGTTGGTCGGATTTTTTAAGATTGCAAATTCAAAAGGACTTAGATGCGTAACATCCTATAGGTTAAGTAGATAATGATTGGAGTTTAAGAGTATATTATAAATTAAAAAAATACAATTAAACCCTTATTATTATTAGTCCAACAAAAGAGGCTTGAAGGGTGATTTTTTTTTTCTTCGTATATCAAGGCCGAAGGAGAGTGAATATTTGAGCCTTTATTCTTAGTTCTCTATTAGAGGAAAACGTTAGAAAAATTTAAGTTTAATTTATTTTTTAGGATGCAATCATAGTTCATTCATTCAAATAAGTCGTTTATATTTTTTTTTTAAAAAAGAAAAGATAATTTTGATAATTTAAACCAAATTACAAATAAAACTGTGGTGTTATTGTTATGGGATTATTTTTCATATGCTTAAGCCGCTGGAATATTTTTATGGGCTGGGGCTAATGTCCAAACGTTTATCCAGTCCAACCCATTTAGTACAAAATGCTGTTATCTTGTCAACTGAATGTACTTTTGGCGGCTACTTTTGACAGAAGCGGCAGGGAAGGTGGGGCAATGGGCCATGTCGTCGTTGGAGAGGGCGTCGCAGTTGTCGACCAACAACCATCGGAACACTTTCAGCTCTTTCTCTTCCTCTCAGTCGGTCACTTTCTGTTTTCGTTTCTTTTGTCGCTCTTTTATTTTTGGGTTAAAAATTTAACTAAAGGGTATCATTGGGATCTCATTAACAGGCCATCATCAAAGCAGAAAAGCCAAAGCTTCATGGAAATGATAAAATCAGCAAAGGGTAGCTCACAAGATGATGATTTTGAAGAAGATGACGATTTTGTTCTCAAGAAAGAGAGTCCTACTACTACCAATAGTAAAGGTAATCATTTTTCTTTCATTACACTACACTGTTGCTGTATATTAATGTAAATACTAGTGAATTTAGATAAGAATGATTCTTGGCTTCTTTAAGGGTATTAGGATTTGGGGACAGTAATTTTTGAGGGTGATACTAAAATTATTGATGAATTACGTTCGCCTAATATTTGTTCTTTTTACAGGAGAATTGAGAGTAAAAGTGGATGGAAAGAGTGCACCTGATCAGAAGGCAAACACCTCAAGGTCAAAACATTCTGCTACTGAGCAGCGGAGGAGGTGTAAAATTAATGACAGGTAATTTTAACAATAACCTGCTTCACATTTAATACTCGTTAACCTCTTTCTTTTAAATTTGGATGAGTTTTATATCTTATCTCGTGAAAACATGTTTGGTTAAGTTTCTATTGTATTTGATTTTTCATGTTCAATGTGTTCTTTTCTCTCACTAGGAAACCCTTCAAAAAAATTTGAAGAGTAATGAACCCTTTTGATTACTTCTTAGCTTGAGATGGAGACCTCTTGAGAAAGTACTGGATAGAATACTAGTATATTTACCATCAGATCCAGATTGTTTGGTTTTAAGAATATAGCGGGGGACTCTATTAATAGGGATATATGTAATGCTTGGGGGATGAGTTACAATATGTTTGCATCTGTCACTGAAAAGTGGAAATTTGAAATTAAAAACGCTGTTTAGTGACTGAAAAGTGGAAATGTAGTGATACAAAATCATCATTAGATACTAAAATCTAGCAATTCTTTTGCAGATTTCAGATGTTGAGAAGTCTCATTCCTCATAGTGAACAGAAGCGAGATAAGGCCTCATTCTTATTAGAGGTACATAGCTTTCTTGTACTAAGAGTTATGGTTTATTCTTTCTCTATCTACGTTTTCAAATTTTTGAACAATGGTATGTTCAATCTTCTTGTAGGTTGTCGAGTACATTCAGTTTTTACAAGAGAAGGTACAAAAGTATGAGGGAACGTATCAAGGATGGAGCCAAGATCCATCAACATTGATGCCATGGGTAAATTCTATACTTGGCTCTATTATTTAAGAATTGCACACCCGATAATGAATTTTTTTGGCATTGTGCATGGTTTTTAAATATCAACAAATTTTCAAGAACTGATCATTACCTTCTCTGAAACAGAGAAACAACCACAGACTCACAGAAAATTATGCTGATCAATCTCGAGCCATAAATGGTGTCTCTGCTCCTGCCTTAGCTTTTTCTGGAAAGTTTGATGAGAAAAACATCAGCATCACCCCAACCATTCCTGGAAGTCCACAGAATCCTATTGAATCTGATATGAGCATAGCTACTACCTTCAGAGCAATAGACCCTCGTTCTGGCATGATGAATAAGACAATGCCCTTTCCTGTGTCAATACAGCCAAACCCCCTCACCTCTGCCCACGGTACTGGTGCGGCAGCTCAACTTCCATCTGGATTGCCATCTGATTCAGAAAACAGTGCATCTCAGCCTCAATCTGTACCATATCATACTGGATCCTGTACCACCAATGGTGCTCTTCCTACTGAAAAGCTGAAAGAAAAAGAGCTGACGATTGAAGGTGGAACTATTAGCATCTCGAGTGTATATTCGCAAGGGTGAGTTTTTACTTTTTATTTTGTAATTTGATGAATAATCTAAAATTTATAAATGATTTGGTCTGCATGTTTTTCTTTTTGGACCATCTTTGCTTCTTTCATACATTTTTATTGTTAAATGATTTGGCAAAATATCATAGTTTCTTGTCCCATGAGTGCCAATATACACAGAATGGAGATCCTCAACTGAAATGACCACATTTAGCTCCTATTCAGATAAAACACTTCCTCCTTGATTTTTAAGGCACTAGCATGCTCTTACCTTTCTGGTCTACTCTCTTTACAGTGGGAGCCATATTTCTCAGTAACTATTTGATTGGACTCATCTTTTGTTGATCTTTCTCTTTAGGTTTTAACTATCTTATCTATGCAGATTTAGCAGCTCTGCATTCTCCCTACAAGAATATAGTGCGCAAGACTAAGTCTCTGTTATGACCTTGGAAAATAAATTTCCATGTAGTATTAGATAACACATGTAGTTATAATGCTCTTATTGAGATGGTTGCATGATATTGGTTTGTCCCTGTTTGAAAAGCACTATCACAGCATTTATTTCAGAACATTTTGAAGTTAATATGCTTTGTATTGACAACTCTAGACTTTGTGAGCATAAAATTGAGGCTTACTTTTGTATCAAGTTCCCGTTTATGCATTCTTTGTCTCCCTTCGCCTTGGTTTCTGAATGTAGGATGAACATATTGTTTTGAATCTCCTTTAGTGCTGTTTCTTAAATTGTGGATGCTACTGGGTTAAACTACTAGATAACCCTCTCCCATCCCTTTATCCACCCCAGCTTAGTACCCTAAACTCAAATCCAAGTTCTCAAACTTTCTTCAAGGAGGAACCACCAGGCTATGATGTCATTGTCTTAATTGTTCTTATTGTTCCTTTACTCGGGCTATCAGCATCTCCCTTAATTTTATTATATGACCAGGAAGATTGGTGATTGGTGTGAATCTTTGCACCGACCATGAGAGAAGAGAAAATGACAGGAAAGGTTTATACTCTTTTATTTAAGGAATACGTGATTTGTTAATTGATCGTGATATTTGACAGGTTGTTGAATACTCTGACACAAGTGCTGCAGACTTCCGGAGTGGATTTGTCAAATGCCAGCATCTCAGTGCAAATTGAGCTCGGGAAGCAATCAAGTAGTAGGTCTGCTGCTCCAACATCCACACTTAAGGTTGTTTGGCACTGCTACTTGCCTTTACATGTCTCTTTAATTATTATTAGAATTTTAACATGAACTTTTAGAATCTTATTTGATTTTCATCTCTTCAAACCAAGGAAGCCAAACTGATTCTTTATTTCCTGTGTGCACTCTAGGATAGAGAGGCTCTCTCAACACATCAAGGGGCAATGCGATCTAGAGTTGGATGCAATGAGGATTCCGATCAACCCCTAAAGAAACTCAAGACATGAAAAAGGTAGCTTGATAATTTCACAATATTCTTTTTATTTATTTAATTAATTCATTTTTTGGAGCACCGTGCCCTTCCTTGAGACTTATGGTACTCATTCTAGTTTTTAAACTACCTAGTCAAAGACAAGGATCCATGAACATCTAGTTGGCAAGCTTTCAGCTTTTGTTGGGAAAGACATGCACAGAATTATTCCCAGAAAACAAATATATATTATTCATCTTTCATTTTGTGTAATTCTTCACCATTTTGATGTTGAGAAGCTGCTTTTCATTGAAGGCTTCCATCATCATCTGAAGTTTCGTTCATTATTGTCATTATTTTTTAACATATATATATATATATATATCTATATATTTGTTGTTGAGATTCAGCTCTCTTGTTGGAACAAAAGGAAATTGTTAACTTCATATACATGAAATGCCTGACTGCAAAATTTTCTATTTTTGTCAGAAGATTTTATCATTATTTACCTGGAAAAAAAATTAAATTCTTAAATGTAATTTATTTCTCCTTATTCATTTCATTGTTTGGTTGTCTTTTTTGGATCATTGAGATGCCAAGCTGTCTTAGTAAAAAAGACAATGAACTCCATTTATTCATTTATTTCAAAAATGAAAAGAAAATTCAATTGATTCTAACCCTTTACTATATATTGGGATAAGCATGATATTTTAGTAAGAAATGTAGAGCAAAGAATATTTACATATAAAATTCATTTATTTTTTTAATATTCCAAAACTAAAATAATTTTAGATTTGAATAATATTAATTAAATTCAGAATTCGTTTTGAATACTAATTCAATTTCCATTAAGGATCCAACTTTAAAAGGAAAAAAAAAACTTTTAAATTAATGTGATTAGGAATGGGATCTACGTCAACGGACAGACCACATTGGATCGACCAAACGAGAGTTGATGTAATAAAGCAAATATCATGACAAGATGTTGTCGTGTCTTTTTGCACTTGTGTTATGCTGATCCAAGATTAAATATAATAATTAATAATAATTGAAACTAAAACTCTTCGATTTAAGTTGGGAAGTTAGGTGAGAAAGCTTAGTAGCGTATTACCAAACGTCACCATCATTGTAGGTCAAGCTGTCCTCCTCCTTGATGATAACAAAATGTTACTATCCTCTACTATAATATAATATATATTTTTTATAAAGCATTTAGTTGAAGGTTGGCAATTATTTTTTTAATGGTCGCAAGCCGTTTTTTAAAGGGTGGCTTTGGCAAAAAACATTGTCTCTCAAAGTTTTCCTTTGCGCTGTTTCGGTGAGTAAAATTTTATTTGAATGAATTGTGAGATTTGAAATCAATAATAAAAATTATTATAATTATAATTAAAAATAATAATAAAAATTTTGTATAAAATAAATTTTATTAAAATTAATATTAAGATTATATAATGAATTTAATTTTATTATATTAAAAATATGATAAAATTTATGCGAACATTGAATTTCCTCTTTCAACAATTAATTGCTTTAGGGGATGGGGCCATTTGAAGACTATCAACACTCCCTTTAGCTCTTCCATCTATGCTAGCTTAATGGATCATTCAACAATGCAAATAATAATAATAATAATAATAATAATAATAATAATAATAATAATAATAATAATAATAGAGCATAAGCATTGTGCTTGGAAGACCCAAAGCCAACAATAAACAAAAAAAAAATCATTCTTTGGGATCTCCAAAAGCTTTTTTTTTAAAGAAAAATTTTCTATTGATTTGAATAAAAAATATATGTATTTATTATTGACTTAAATAGCCATATTCGTCGGCTTCCTAATCAGTGAATTTTCTCATTTTCCAAAACCAATCTGCCATTCATGAACTTCCAATTATTCTTGTTTGAAATTTTCCTTTTTGGGGTTGGTGAGGGGCAGGGGGAATATGTTTAGGTCATGTTTTTGTTAACTTGTTTAGGTCATTTTGTACCTTTGCAAGTTGACCTAAAGCCTAAATCAAACAGCTTAAAATACTTTGTATTATTTATTATTGGATACTTACTAAAAATATGTATAGTACATTTTTGTAGCTTTCCAAGTTGATGTGATTCTAATCTAAAGCCTAACACACAACGGATGACAAGTGTTGTCCTTTCACGTCTCAACCAATCACTATCCTTTTGGACCTACGATGTAAGAACCAATGTTGTATTTGTTCATTGTTTACCAAATTATTAACATGTAGTATCCATTAGTGGGGCTGTCGCCTCTTTTGTTGGGGCCTTACCTGTCAAATTTTCTTTAATCTTTTCTTTTTCTTGCCTCCATGGACATCAAAATATTTGTCACCCTTCTTTCAAAAGCATCTATTTAATGCTTTATCAAAACCAAGTTTAAAGTTAATGCCCTTGCTTTGCCGATCCAATAACTCAGGCTGAACTGTCCAAAACAAAATCAGCCTCGTATTTCCTTGTCTCTCAAAACAACAAAATACGACTAAAACAGAACAAAAATGTAGAGCTGAAGGACAACATCTATTTAATGCATTATCAAAACCTAGTTTAAAGTTAACGCCCTTGCTTTGCTTATCCAGTAACTTAGGCGGAACTGTTTGAAACAAAATCGGCCTCTTATTTCCTTCGCCCTCAAAACGACAAAATACTACTAAAACAGGACAAAACGTAGTGTTGAAGGACCAGGGTACTGAGAGAGCTGAGCCTAAGACAACATTTGGGGAACAAAACATTCACATGCCAACTAATAATAATGAAAAGGAAGAAAGGCAATTGCAATTTGCAATCATTTGACAACATCTCCTAAAATAGGAATAATATCTTGAATAACACACTTTAATTATTAAAAAATATTTAATCTGATCCCTGAATTAAAAAATGTTTAACCTGATACCTTAAGTTACAATCCCAAAATAAAGTTATCCTAACCTCTAACAAAATGATTACGGCGCATTAACCACGATTTGCTTATGGTCAGACAGAAAGCAAATAGTAAGTCCAATATCGAATGGACTATCTCTGATTTCTCAATAGCAAGCCTAATTTAATTAAGTTAATTCACAAATGTATCATGGTAAATGGAAAGAACCAAAACTCCCATGATGCTGGGGAAAATGTTTGACCAGCTTGATTGGTTAGGCTGTCACTATCAAATGTAAGCAACCACCTCAGCAATGAACAAATGCAAAACTGACAAATAGCCTCTTTGATAAGGGGCACCATACTGTCCCATGTTAAAGGCAAGACCAAGTCACTCAACCCGAAATGTCTTCCGTATAGGGCATTTAATTTACAAGATTAGTGCAGTAAAGTTAATATTCAATGCTTTCAACCATTCCCTGCATTGATGGGGCCATGCTAAAAGAAATACAATGATCTGTGTTCGGTGTGACAAGATGAATTCTAGAATGTGATGTATGCTTAGAAACTAGCTAGATCGTAAAGCGTTCAAAAAGAAACAAAAAACAAGAAAAAAAATTTGCAAGAGGGAAGGGCGAGGTATTAACCTTCCATGAATCCAGTCTCGATAATCCAAATTTATACTTGCATCCCTGGTGTACTAACACATTTTGATCTGACATTACCCTATAACAGCAGGGCAGCTCTTCTATACATTCTTCTGATTATTTGCATATATTAAAATTTTGTATCATCCAGCTGCTTCTCAAGATCCTCTCAGGCTTTCTTCTACTGTCCCCAATCATCTCCACAAATGCCTCCTTGAAGAAAACCCTTCATTGTCGTCATACTTGTGTAGAGAAACTACATTTTGGTTTCAGGTGTGGTGCCTAGCGCTATAGAAAAAGCATTGATAAATGTCAAAATCCGCAGATAGAATGATCACGTGCTACTCAGTTGACCATATGATGGTTGCAAGCATTCTTCTGGGTTGGCATAGAAGTAATCCTCTTCTTTAGGCCTGTCAGGAATCACCAACCTTTGTGTTGGTTGCCCCTTGCGACTTTCATGAGATTCCTTAACAGCATCTGAGAACTCATTCCAGCTTAGAGATCCACTGTTGTACTGGTCTATCAGATCAACCAAAAGCCTTCTGTCCAATAAAATTGTCTGCTTGAACCCCAGACATCTGAAGGAGCATTCAACAGTCCAAGTTAGGTTTATGACAAATGACAAATACCTTTAACTAGAAAAACAAGAAAATACAGCAGAACTATTAAACATCATAAAAAGAACCCTCAAAAAAGTGGTTATAACATTCCTTAGTTCATTTTGCAACCATTTTAAACACAAATAATATCAGACTCCTGAATCTAAGAAAAGGTGGAAAAAGAAAGGAAAAGTTTTGCAATGATTTCTCAGAGAGAAATAAACAAACTATTGTCCTATTAATGGTAATGGGGATGCTAAAATGCAGTTGAAGTTGAATTTCCAAAATTATTCTTCTCATCTGAAGAAAGGACCATTGAATAATTTAATAATTGCAAGAAAACCTTTCTAAACGTATTAAAAGCCAAAGTATCTGCAAAACAGTACCTACGATGGCCTTCAACAACTTTAGCCATGTTTCCATCATACGTAGGAATAAAAATATCACTCTCCAATGAAACAAGATAATCTAATGCTGCCATCTGGGATGAATGATTTTGAAAAAATCTAAGGTCTGATGGCTCCAACAGAGTCTCCTTTCTAACCTGTTTTAACAAACATAAGGCCAATTATAGATACAGGAGAAAAAAAAAATCTAAACATTTTAAAATTGATTTTGCAGAACTTCTACCTACTTACCAATTTTGGATAAGCTGCAGCAAGACTTGCCATTCTCCTCTCTCCACCATATATTTCACCAGCTGCGATATAGATTTGGTAACTGTTATCAATATCCAGTGCCCTCAAAATAAGCGCAGTTTCCTCAGGCGTCAAAGGGCACAAACCATCTTTCCTTTTCAAATCAGAATTTATTATTTTTTCTTTCCACCAGGGATAAGCATATCTGCCAAAATATTGTGCAAGAAGAGTGAGATTAAAATTTAAAATTTCGGCCTGCTGGTCAATAAATTGTTGAAGATGCATGTAAGGCTCACCTCATTCTTGTCAACTCCTCCACTTCCTCATTGTTGCAACCTTGGGTACAGCCAGAAAATGCTAACATGTCCATTTCGTATCTAAGATGAAGTACTATAAAAGGACCATTTTGCCTCAGAAGCTTAATAACTCGTTTACCCAACTCCTCAATCTGAGACGTGAATCTCAAAGCACTAAAATTTACACGACATCGCAGCTTCTGAATATCTAAAGGCTGCCCATTGTTGGCAAGTCGTGTATCAGTTCTATTCAAATGTACAACTTTATGCTTTTGTATTAGAGGAAGAATCTGCATGACATAGAGAAGAAAACATACTACTTTACGAGGAGTCTTGGAGGAAGGAAAAGAACTAGGAAAGTATAAAAACATTTAAAAAAGAGAAGAAAGAACAAAGCTAAATTGCAGTAAAGTCTAAATAGCTCTAGGTGCATAAAAGACCTGGCAATGACAAAGAATTGACCTTGTTATGATAGTAGGATATATCAGACCAGCTAATCGGTGGCATGGAATATACCATCCCCATTTCCACTCTCCTCTTAAGCCTAGGAGGCAACTCCTTCAATATACGAACCTCATCTCTCAGCGATGTAATGAAATGATCCACATCAAATATATCTTGAAATTCACTGCCACATCAATTAAAAGTATATATAGAGATATGTAAGAAAAAAATCCCAGTTCAAAAACTATCAGGACCATATTTTAGACCACCCTCTCCAAATCTATATGCATGTAATATCCAGTAGCTTCAATCATGCGAGTAATGCTTAGTTAACACACCTTGGATCAGCCCAAAAGGATGTTTTATCCAGCTCCGGGACAATAAGTGTGACATTCAAATATCTTGCAATTGTAACCATGTCACAAATCTGTCAAGCAAACCCCAAAATGAGAGAACATGGCATCATTTTCCTCATATATTTATACTATAAACAACTCATGAACTTACATAATCTAGAAAGTTAAAAAAAGAAAAAAAAATTATATTTAGTGTCCATTGCTAAAGCACTCACAGCTGCTCGCATTTGATTGAGACCTCCATTGCATGAAACCATCAAGTAACCATTGTTCTTATATACCCCTAATGTCAACAAACAAAACATAAAATCAATTTAGAATCTAAGTTCCATAACCAGGAAAATATATTCAAGTACCAATGATCGCCAAACTTAAATTAAAAAAAAAAATGAAAGTAAATGTAACAATATATTCGCATAAAAGAAAATCCCATACGAAATATTCAAGGGATACATGATACACCAAGGAACTTATCCCATAACAAGAAGAAGAAATAATCTGATAAAACTAAGACATATGATATCAATTCAATCCCCATGAAAATCTGTCCTTTTCTATTGCTTTCTTCTCCTCAAATAAGAAATTAGATGAATCTAAAAGGTTTTCCTTGTTTCCAGTAAAGACTAGTTCAATTTCTTCCCGTAATTCAATCAAAGAATTGCATAATAAAAAAAAAAGTTCCAAAATTAACAGAAATTTAATTAATTTTAAAAAAATCGAGAGGCAAGACTTACTTTTGGGAGGAAGGACACGGGCGGGAACGGAGGGGGCTTGGTCTTCAATAACGGAAACAGAGGAATCCTGGTGAGAAAAACAGGAAGGCCAACCTTTAAGAACACGGGGTCCCCACGTCTCTCCCATGGCCGTTAACTGTACGATGCAAGTCCAAAGCAACACCGATGTGGTGGCGCGTATCATCCACAGCTTCATTCTCGAGCCCTTCAACTTCTCCACTCTCTCCCCTTCGCCGCCTCCTCCCCCTTTGACTACCCCCATTCTTATCCCTACTTTTTTACCTTTCCCTTCAACACTGCACATTTCCAGCAATAACCTCAATCTCCACCCTGTTCATCATCCCCCCAATACGCCGCCGTTTTGTTCCTTTGAAATTCGATCAATGTAGGTCGATTTTCAGAAAATTTGCATCAAATTTAGTATCCACCTCAAAAAAAAAAAAATCCCTTTCTTTTCTAAAAAATGACACCTAACAGAATCTTTGAGATCCGAAAACTTCCAAAAATACAACAAAATAATTCAAGATCAATCAAAGAGATCAATTTTTTCCTCAAACGAAACTCTTAACGACTTAAGTACTTAACCAATTCAAACGAATAATAAACTAATTTTCCCAAAAAAAAAGAACCCAAAAAACTCCTTCTCTTCCCCGGCGATCTAATAACTTTTCCGGCAAGAAATTGCCGTGGACTGGGTGTTGACACCCGCGCCTGCCTTCAAGTATAAGCCAATCAAAAGAATGAAAGAAGAAAGAGAAAAATTTAGAGACAAAACAGATTTACAAAGGAGAATTTAACGCCGCGTAGTTGGCTATGCTTTTTTCAACGTGAGCAAGCGAGAGAGACAACGCGAGCCGTACACCACTGGATGCACCTTTTAACCATAGTTCACGAATCTAAAAAGATTTGTTGACTAGGGTTAGTTATTGACTGCACTCTATGGTTAACTCAATTTCTACCAATAAATGCCAGCCAACTCAGTTAATGTCTGACCGGGCCCAACTTTTCCCCCACGTGGCGGCTATCTTGCGGTGGTAAAAGCTCTCGTGGCGACGTCTTAGGATTGGGAGTTCATCGGTCGCAGTTACATTTCGGTGGCATCAGTTGTCTATACACCGACAATATATCGCGAGAATTTCAGGACAAGGTGTGATCTACTGGGTTGAAATTTTCTTCGTGGTTGGGCTGCCTATTACAAAATTTTGTGATATCAAATTTATAGAGAAAAAATTAAAAGCAAAAGGTATGTATTATAAAAAAACAAAGGAATCTTTTATGTTTCAACAATAATGAAATTTTATTTAATTATACCAATGAATTTGCTTTGACGCAATGCATTAGCGCTTCAATCGAATTCATTGTTATTTTTTTTAGTAAATAAATGCCTAAGTTTTTATAAATTTATCTATGAATTGAATCTAGTCGAATGTATTGATTTGATTGTTCAAGGCTTCATTCTATGAACATATGTTTCACAATTTTAAAATATATAATAAAATATTAAATATTTTTAAATACATTAAAATTAAAATTAAATAACAAAATAAAATTTTAAGTTAAACGAAGTCAAATTCCAAAAACTTATATTCAAATATGATATGAATAAACTCAATATAAATGAAAATGGTTTGATTTGAATTGAATTCATTTTTATTTTTTTGAATATTGTATAATATTTTAAGTATTTTAAATTATATTAAATTCAAATCAAAATTTTAATTAATCTAAATTAAATTTTACCGATTTGTTTTGATTTATCAATTTTTAATTTTTAAAATTTTTATGTATTAATTAATATAAAATTATAATATATTTAAATAATTTTTAATATAAAATTATTATTTTTATTTTATAAAAATTTAAAATATATATAAAAACTAAAATATATATATATAATTTGATTCGGTTTAATCTTTTTGGATTTGTTACCTCTTAATCTGAAATTAAATCTAAACCTAATATATATTTAATATTTAAATTCAATTTAAATCAAATAAAAAAAATGATTCAAATCAAATCGAATGTATTGAATCTGACTTTTAAATTTTTTGAATTTTTTCTTATTTTTACAAGTAAAGCCTGTAGCCTACAGGCTGGTCAGTCAACTCAAATTGTGAACAAGTTTTGTGCATTTTTTTTTAAATAATTTAATCTAAATTGAAATGGTAGGTTTATTAGGTAAGGACATGGTTGTTGCAAGCAAATGTGTTATCTCAGATTGTCAAGACTTCATGAATTGTATGTTTCAACCAACTGTTTCAAATTATAGTAACAATAAGAGGTAAAAAAGGATGACTAACCATTTAGACCTTTCAAAGAGTAATTACTTAAGTATATTATTTAAAATAATTTTGTAATATTATGAAATCCAATAATTCTCAACATAGTAATTTATCTATAAACGATTTTTATTATATTTCTTTTGAAATTAGCATAAATTTATTACATTATGATTTGATCTCAGTTCTATAAAAAGTTATATTTATACCACTAAGCTGAATGTGTACATATTAAACAAAACATTTGTAAAATTAACCTTTTCTTATTAACATTTTTTTTTTATTTGAAGATGGAATTGTACGAAAAATTTCTTTTTAAATAAAGAATTATAAATCACTCAATAATAAAATTTCGAGTAATAAAAAAAATTAGAGAAATAATATCTTTTGCTAATCTTTTGTTATCTTTTTTTTTTTTTTATGTATCAACAAAACAAATTCTATTATCGTATAATATATTAACCTGTAATATGTAGTTTAAATTTATTTAAACCTAATTAGTTGAGCAAAGAAGCATGGATCAATCATCTCCATTTTACTTCTGTTTAAGCAAAGGTAAAATATTGGCAAGAACACTATTGACAAAGATTTTTTTTTTTAGAATAAATTTAATAATTCGTATATTTATATATATATTTTATCAGATATGTATAAAATATGAAAAATTAAAATAATAATTTTTTTAAAAAATTTTATCGCTATACTTAAATAAATTTTTATGTTTTTATTACATTCAAATATGTTTTAAATCTTAATTTACATCCAAATAAATATTTAACTTTTAATTTATATCCAAATAAATCTTTAAATCTTAATCTTTAATTTGTATATAAATAAATTTTTAATATTAAATAATTTTTTATTTGAAATAGTAATTTGTTTGAATACAAATCAAAAAATAAAAATTTATTTATGGACAATTAAATTTATTTAAATATTTTTTAATAATTTAATTAATATAAAAATTATCATATCATAATTTATATCAATATATTAAAAAATATTATTAATTTTTTAAAATTTAAATATAATTTTATCAATTTTAAATCAACCACTTATTTTTTCGTATAATATGTATGAATTATATTGTGTAGGGTCTAAAATTTTCATTTATTTGAAACATTTTTATTATGGCATTACCTTCGTCAGAGTGTCGGTTGCGCCGTTAAGACGGCGTTTGAGTTTCGAAGGACTCACTGATCGGAGCTGCCAGGCCCAGGTTTCAAAATCTTTAAGTTTCTTCAAGCCCATCAGTTGCATGATAGAGGTCAGTGGGCTCCATCGACAACGTGATTAAGATGGTCGTACCCACAAAAAGGAGATGTCTTTTATTACGCGCTCAGCGCAGTAGAGCCCTGATAGAAACGAAAAGAGTAAAAATATTTGGACCGTGAAATTCACCCTGTTGGATGGCGAAGGTTTAATTATTGTACTTGTGGTTGATGGAGGTTGCGTACGTGGCGATTTCCCTGCACGGTTGCAAATGATCCCGATGGATCTGGATGGGCTTAAGAATGGGCCAGGATCCCCTGCGACAACTGTGGACAGCATCATCATCCTTCTTTTTGGACATCCCATCTGCTGTGTCTAAAGTGGGGTCCTCTTGATTTAGAACCGGTATCTTTGAATACTTTCCCTTTTTCATATATTTTTGTTGGGATTTCTTGTCCCACAAATTCAATTCTTGTTAAGTAGAAAATCTGAGATTGTGGATTGATCGTAATTTGAATTTAACTACAATTGTATGCCAAACAATTTTTTTTTAATATGTATTTTGTGGTTAAAATTTTCAAATTATAAAAAATTTCTCTTAATAAAAAAATAAAGTTAAGAATAAAGCATATCCTTTTAGAAAAGATAAAAATCAAATTATATATACTTGAAGTAACTATAAATTAAAATATGAAATTTAATTCAAATAATTTTACTTACAAGATTCAATTAAATTATGCAACCAAAAAAAAAAAACCTATTTTGACTATCATTAGAATTCAATTGACCCAAGAAAGAAAAAAAAAAAGAAGAATACTACTAAGTATTCCACCATAAAATCATTCATATTTTTTTGTCGTGCCATTATTTTTGTTTTAAATTTTATACTTTGCGATATAATATATAATTATTAGTTTAAAATATCTAATTTATGATTTAATTAATTTATTTATAAATTAATATATTTCACATTTAAATTTTTTGAATAATCATATATCATATCATGGAATGCAAAAGTTTAGGATAAAATTGGTGAGATAAATAGAATGACAAAAATATTAGAAAATTAATTAATGCTTGAAAGTTGAAACTGTCTTTGTTTATTTATTTATATATCAATAAATTTCAAGAAATTAAAGATGTAATTATGTTTAAAAAAAAAGTAAGGTAACTAGCTAATTATAACTTTCATGCAAGAAAAAAAATTTGACAAGAGGAAAATTATATAATTTTATTATTATTTTAATTGCAGGCAATAATCTTACCTTTTTTTTTTTTTTTGTTATATTGTTGAGGGGAGAGAGACAATTCAAAAGCAAGCAATTAGGAATACCAAAATTAATAAATATATATATTGCAAAAGCAAAGATAGTTGTTGGGAACATGGTTCATAAATTAAATCCATGATTAATTTTGATTAAAATAATAATTTTAATCCTAATCATTGTGATTCAACTAAAAAAATATAAGACTTATATTAATATAATTAAATCTTTTTTTATTATTTAAATAATTTTTTAAAATCAATTCAATCATGATAATTAACATATTCAAGTTCCTGCCTAAGTTGACACCAACAGCAAAAGGGCCACTTTGGGCCAACCCCATCCCTTTTCCACCTGAAGCCATATTCCGAGCTCCTGACCCAAGTGAGATTGAACACTTGCTTACTACATTTTAACGTATTATTTATATATATTTTTTAATATTTTCATATAGTATATTTTAAATTACCATATTATTTCCCAAAACCTGTTGGCTAAATGCCAATGTCTATCCTCAGCATCATTGGCCCCATCCTGTCTTAAAACCTAGTTCTTCCAAGAATCTTCTTTTACCTTTTTAGATTTTTATTTCATCACTTAAACAACAACTTGAATCCCCAATTTTTAATTGCCTTATATCTTTTTCATCATTAAATTCAGGCCGCAGTTTCCAAGAAAATAAAAAACACATTTTTAAGGTTTCAAAAGTTTACCGGCTTCTTTCTCTTCCACATATCTGATGACATGTAGGGTACAACATCCACGTATCAAAGATAAAGACAAGCACTCATGGAACACCTAATCATATCCTCTTGTTCTTCCCTCACCTTGGTTTGGTTTAGAAGGATAATTCGCAATTCGTCTTCCTTTTATTACATGTCACCATCTATGTCTGAAAATCTAATTTGTTTGGCACGCAGAATAGTTTAACAAAACTCACCACTAGTTTTTCATTTTCTTTTTCCTTTTTTTTTTTTTTTCAAGTTTTGCTCTTTGTTTTGCTTGCCCATAAAAAGAAACCAAAACTAACGTACTTTCACTTTCCTTTTTAAAATATGCCAATAAATAGATTGTAATTTGTTGTTTTGAGCTGCCCACCCAGCAAACTGCAACTATTCCAATTCTGGAAACATGCAAAAATTCAAACTCTTCTGCCACTTTTACTTTCTTTCCAGGTTCACTTCTTCACTTTCCCCTTATCTACTTCTGCTTTGCATGAGTATTTCTAGTGTTTTTGTTTACTGAATATTGATGTAAATTGTACTTGTTGTAATGATTTTTACATTATTTCAGGGAGATTAATGGTTGTTTTTGGGTGATATTTTAGGTGGGTTTTGTTTGTTTGCTGCAATTTTTTTTTGGGCTGATTTTGAGGTTTCATTTTGTGGGGTTTTTTGGTGTGTTGTTAGGGTTGGATAGAAAGTAGGGTTTGGTGCAAAATGCTGGTTTTAAGCATGAATTCGAAAAGACAAAGGCGGCCAAATGTTAGGTTAGGGGAAATTGGAGATGTATCTGCTGCTTTTGCATGTGGGTTTTCTCAGAAGACTAAGGAAAGTTTGGTACATAAAAGATGGAAACCTGATTTTCTCAACTCTCAAGAAAATGAACTTCCTACTGCTGTTGAGTTTTCTAAAGGAAATTCTCCATATTTCCTGATTTCCGACCCTGGTGTTTCCCCAAGGATATCAGCTGATTTGCAACAGAACAGAGAGAATAAGAACCCAAATTCTTCCAAATTGGGTTTTGATTTGGTCAGTGTTGATGAAATTGACATGATGAAGTCTAGTTTAAACTTCGGTACCATAACCAGGAAGAGTAGGGTCATGAAGAGGCGAGGGCGGAGCAGGGAAGGCAATAATTGTGCGTTTGACGGTGCTTGGACTTGGAGTTCTAAACTTAGCTCTCAATTTAGCGGTGCAGATAGAAAGGAGCGTGGTGAGAAGGAGTACATGGGAATTGGATCAAATGCTTGCACAGATTATTACCCTGTCAATGTTTTTCGGGACATATCAGATCATGAAACACTGGCTACCAGCAAAGATGCTTGTGAATATGATGTGGATGAACCTGGTTATGATAGTTGGCAACAAAGAAATGCCGATGATTGTTGGAAAGATGCTTGTTATGAAGGAAATAATGTGTTTCTTAAATCTGGTGATGTATGGGACCAAACGAGATACACATGTAACGATGTAACTAGTGTCAGAAGATGGTTGGAGGACCTGGGATTTGGCAGGTATGCTGGTATTTTTGAAATGCATGAGGTTGATGAGGAAAGTTTGCCTTTGCTTACTCTAGATGATCTCAAGGAGATGGGTGTATTTGCTGTTGGGCATCGACGGAAATTGTACACTGCAATAAAGCAATTAAGAGGAGGCGATGTTTCTTCTTGAAAACTCTTCCAATAAATGTAGGTAATCCTTCTCCTTTTGTGCTTCACTGCCCTTTTGTGCAGGAAAAAATGTGGTAGACGTGTATGTAACCTTTGGAGTTTCTAGCTTGTTTTTTTCCTCCATGTTTCTTGACTGCTTTGTCAATGAGATAAGCTTAAGTGGTTCATACTTTTATATTTTTGATGCATTTCTTATCAGTGGCCTCTTGAATTATTAAATCTCAACATTATTTGAACTATGTGGTTGCTTTTGCTACTGTTAAGTAACATTATTTTTGGGTCTAGATTAAAATGCAAGTTACATGAAAATTTTCATGATAATACTTGATTTTGTCATAAGTGAGAGCTATATCGAGAACCTCCCTTTCTATAATTATCGGTGCATGTGTTTTCTGTAGAAATGGCAACTTGCTTCTTATTTAGGCATATAATTCAGAATTAAGTATAATGCACACGTTTCCTCATCTATCAGTTTGAAAGTGTCATAAGCGATGTTGCATTGCTGACTGTTATAATTCAGAGACAAGGAAAAATTACAACACATGTTCCTCTTTAGAACTTACAGGTCAACATTGCTTAGCATCAATTCTTGTAAAGCTTAGGTATGAATTTTGTGTTTAATGCTAGCCTTGTTGTCATGAGCTTTGCATCAAAGATTAAACAAAACATCATATTTTCATTCCAAATCTTAATTGATAAGTACTTGAGAAATACCATTTTCTTAGAATTGTGGATAAAAACTATGTTTACGTGTCACTCTGTGTGTGTGAGTAAGCATGGTATGCCTCTTTTTCCATTCTTTTTAGTGTTTGGAAATATATTCTGATAAAAATAAGTAATAAAATACTAAAGTATGCCTATGAATTGTCTTAATCACTAACTTTTTAGTTAACTCTGTAATTTAATTTATATGGATAGGTTTCCACGACTAAGAAGTAAATTCTTATTGTTAGCTGTTGTTTTAGCACTTAAACAAGCTTCTTTTCTTAAAAGAAAAACGAGTTCTTTTCTGTACTATATTACTGCAAATATGGAAATTATTTAAGGTGTCTGATCTGGGAAGAAAAACTATGGATCTTGGCATGTAATCTGAAATGTAATTACTAATCCTCAAGCTGCTTAATTATAGTGTTTATTGCACAAAAAAAAATGTACATGAAAATGTTGAATCTCTTTGGTGGTGCATTTCCTCTATTTATCAAAGTTAACTGCTGTATACCTCTCCTGGGTTTTGGTTTAGAATAAGGAGGCAGTAAATGATGCTGTACCTCTTTAACCCTCTGTTTTCTCCATCAGGTGCCCCTTAATTTGTTTCTTTACTATGCTATTGGTCCTGCTTTTTTATTCTTTCCATATGTTTAAGCAGAGTTTGATAAGGACAAATGCTATACTTTTAATAGGTATTACCAATTTATTTCTTTGCAAAGATCCCTTATCTTTTTCTTGGAGGGGCTTTTGAAAATGCAAGATGCTGATTATAGTGCAATTTTGAGAATTAAATGATCATTTAGCTGTAGGTGATAGACTTGTATTTTTCATGCATACAATTTTTTTATGTTGTTTAAATGGCACCATAAAATGATTTGTAGATGTGTTTGAAAATTGCTGGACTTGGACTCTTGTTGCTCATCTTTCTGATTCATTTATAAGCAAAATGCGTAGTTTTCTGTTGTTTCGTTGTATGCATCTATTGGAACTTGAAAGTCTAAATGCCAGCAAAATGTAAGCGCTTGCTTAATTACTCCAGCCCCGGCTACCTTAACAGGACTTTCAGCGGTTAGCTTCGGAATGCATCAGATGTTACTTTTAGAGTCATGCTAAAGACAGCCTAATCGATGAAACATGTTACTTGATGTTTTTGCTCTCTATGAATGGTTCATGAACATTCCACCTTAGGTGGGGTTTCTGTTGATTTGCAATGCAATGAGATGACCTTACGCGTATTACAGGTTTTTTCCATTTCCCATAGCCTTTTGAGGTAGATGGGGGATGCATCTGTTTTATTCTTATTAGTTTGGTGAGATCAATTTTTAATCTGATTTTTAAGCTGTGAAGCCAGCCTAAGCTACAGTGGACATACGTGGGCTATGAATTTTTGCAAATGGGCGAAATCAGAGGTCACTTCACTGCCTGCTTGCGGTTGTTGCATTGCTCTCAGGCGAAGAAATGGAAAATTTTATTCGAATTGAAGTAAAAAAATAAATAAATAAACAAATAGAGAGAGTGAGTGATCAAACCACTATAACAGTTCAAATTGACTTATTTTTCTCGTCTGCAATTATAAAAAAAAAAAAAAATTGAATGAAGCTGCAATGATGTTCTGTCTCAATCTTGGTCATGGGGCAGAGCTGTGGACTATGGAACATCCAAAAATAATTTCTTAGATTTACCATGGAACACACCCTAAGGCCAAAGTCGAAACAAACCTTGTATGAGCCATGAGGTCGAAAAGCACAAGTCTACGAGTCTGATCAAGGAATTGCGCCCTTTTCTGTATAAATTGTGGAAGCTTGTCTCATCATTAATCTGCTTTTCGCAATGCTTTCTTAGCCAGAATGTGTTACGGTAGTCTTGCGTCAGGGTATCTGTCCCAAAAAAAAAAAAAGAACTATAGAAATATTCTATTAGTGGATTGTCGTCTTGTACATCCACATCCGTCACATAATGTAAATTTTTCATAAATAGATTTTATAACATGAATGATCTTTGAATTACAAAAAATATTTAATATATTATTTGAATTTAAAATTTTTTAAAATGTTAAATAACATTTTAAATAACACATTAAATAATATATTTATAATTTAGATATCTAATTAAAAAATTTTCATTATAATTCAAGATAAATTTGTGACATTATCTCTCAATTATAACAACTTGTTCCTGGCTTTTCAATATAAAAAAATAAAATTCGAGAAGACTTGTCTTATAGTGGAAATTCATCATCCATGCAGTTTATAGCGATTTCCTAGTCACCATGCAGGTTTCTTTAGTGGCAATTAGAAAGTGTAAATATAATGGATTTCTAATGCAGTGCTGCTGAAGTGCTGACACGATCAGATCACTTTTGTCTTCAGTCTTGCTGCCATGAGACTAACAAGTGACCAGGACTGGTCGCCTACAAATTTATTGTTAACTAAAAATTTTAGCTACAACAATGTTCAGAGCACTATCCAAGGAATGGCAAGTTTCATAGGATTGATTGACACTGCTACTACTTGTCTCCCACTGATTCTATCTCTTTAATTACCATGGCCTTTTGCTTTTCATATTCTTTTTTTTGTACATGTTGAAGATGATGATGATGACTGGAAATACCATCAAAGTTTTTAGTTATCGCCTTCTCCTTTGCTAAAATATTCCTCAATCTATCATCATCATTGGTGCAAATTGTTTTGGAGGAATGATAGATCAGAGATTCACTCAATTTCCTGATATATCTAGTTTTCTTGATTTATCTTCCTTTTTTAAAATGATAGTTTTAGCTGACAATAAAAATTTTAATGGTCTTAGATTCCAACCTGAGTGTAGGAGGATCTCATTTTTACATCAGAGGCTAAAGGGAAAAAGCCCAAATGGTCATTGGGTTGTGCCTCTTTAATTTCCTCCTCAAACCAAGGTCTCGGCCATCTCCTTCCCCTTTGTCTGTGAACTTACAGTATTATTATCATTATCATTATTATTTAATTATTTAACCTGTGAATATACATGTGAAACAATAAATTATATAACCTCACTTCACATCCTGGAATTTGAGTTTCTTTGATTTGATAGATTTGGATTTCATATTGAATTGAGTGGTGGTGAAATATTGTTGTTGACATGTGCTATCCATAGGTGCATTATCACACTTATCCATTTAAGTTTCATTTTAATGGTCGGCGAATAAAGGAGAAGAAATCTTTAAAAGATTTAATGTCAAAATGATGTGATAATATAATAGAAATTTTTTTATCGGCAATCCAAATGAAAAATTATTAGTGTTGGAGGCTTTGGTGCATGATGACCATTACCTTAATCATCTTGATAGTCAAATTTAGGTCTTCTATGTATCAATACCAAGTGATAGGTATTATTTGTCAATACTTGTCCATTTGCAGTGCAGTATAATTGGGAAATCTTGAAGAATCTTGCACGTGATTCATTAACCTAAGTCAATGAAATGGGATATATTCTGTGGTTTTATTTTTTTTAGCAGTGTCTTGTTTTCATGGTATTCGTACTTAATATATAATTCAATCTAAATTTGAATTTTATTGTATTAAAATTTATCATATCATTAGTTAAATTTAAATATTAATTTTATTAATATTTATTTAATATAAAAAAATTTTTAATCATAATTATAATATTTATTATTATTTTTTAATTTTATCAAAATCAATTTCATCACTTAATTAAATGAAACCTCAATCTTGGTTCATGGATCGGGAATTACTTGGGTTAATAAGCGTCATGAATCTAGCTGTTTTAAATGTCTGATGGTTTCTCAGGATTCATCTTCATAAAATTTTGGCAGGGATCGAATTAGAGCTTCCATGATGATCGTCAGTTACCAGCTCACACCTTGTACGTAGGCATATGTTATTGCAAAAGTACAATAATCAGACAATATTTCATGTAAATGCAAAAAAAAATAAAAATAAAAATAAAATTCAATGACTTTTATATATATATATATATATACACACGCATACATATATATTCATAATTAAAAAAAAAAAAAAAAGGACATTATCCCTTTTTGCCGCCCCTCTATTTTCCTTAATAAACTTGGTTTGGGATGGAATTAAATTAACTCAAAAGTCAAGTCCTATGGCAGACCAACTGCTGTGTGTAAGCCTGGACCTTTTCAAGTCTCTTAATATGACAACGTGATGGGGATGGACACTTTTGAAAAGGTTGCTGACCAGTTGGAGAGATGGTGGGGGTTGGAGAAGTGGTAATCATTATGTAATTAATATGACTATCCAAAATAGGGATTTAATTAATTTTAAAAAAGTTTTGAATTTTGTTCCACACATATATTTATATTGATTTAAAAAATTTTATTTACATTAAATTTTATAAATTTATAAAAAACTATTTTTTGGTAATTTTAAAAAAAATTCACTTGAAATTACTTTTAAAATATAATATTTATAACTTTTTTTTAATCTTCCTATTATAAAAAAATCCATCACTAAAACCTTAATTCATGATAATGTTTTAAAATCTAAAATGCATAATAAATAAAGTCTTCTACTAAAAATTAATCTAGGTAGTAGGATAGGAGGTATCTAAAATGTAATTGCCATACAATGTGAAAAGATGGCCACATGCTTGGACCAACCACTCTTGCAAAAACGCTAATGGCAATCATCTGCGCAACTGATCGATCATCAGGCCACTTTCATTGCTACCCTTCCTGCAATTATTTAGGGTTTGCCAAGTGGTTGGTCATCCCATCCATTAATTCAACCATAGACACAGTACTCCATTTATATATCAACTGTTACTGTATAGTGCGATCTATAGTCAAATGTAATTAGTAAACATTGATAGCCACTACCGCTCAGCAGGGCGTGAATGTAACTTGGGATGGCAATTAACTTCGTTAATACTAGAACTTCGGCTAACCCACGTGATTCACATGTCACGCCAAACACTTCACTGGAGTAATTAGGATGCTTTAATCCCATATCAAATACAAAGAGAAAGTTCGTCGTAGGGTAGTAATCATGATAAAGATATTATGGGATTATAGGGAAGAAAATGTCATGTGAAGCATTCAAAAAAGGTAAATGTGATACGTCAATCCAACATCAGATTAAAACAGAAGATTACTGGGCATGAAAAATATTGACATTATGTGACACAGCACTCTACTTAAGAGGTGAAATTTTCCCTGAAATTCTAACCTC